ATGTAGTAAAATAAGAGTTATATGGTAAATATTTGATAGATAATTTTGTTATGTTGCTAAAATTTGCCACTATTCGAAAGCTATTTTTCATTATAAAATCACTTTCACTTTTGACTAACACTGAATATATTTTTTCGAGTCGGTATTACATGTACAGTCATTTTATTACACTGTTGACCCATTTTATAATGCTCATTACATCATACAAATAATTTTCCTTTGACTTACACCACCCTGACATACATACAGTGTGAACAGTGTGAGCTATTGCAAGCATGCAGCTGAGATCTGAAGTAGTAGGACGTAGTAGCAATACTACTTCTACTACTCAACTAGTAGTTTAAACTAGAGTGCACAGTTCTTTGTGCACTCTTTGTTTTTGATAGCAAAATAAATTGTCTTTATTCAATAGTGTAACATTACAAAGATAAATTGTGGGGAGGGTGTGGAATTTTTCCTCTTTATCATTATCAACGGGTCCAATGAACATATTAGAAGACAGGTCCATGCTTTTCAAACAAGAAGAAATACAGTGTTCACCCCCTCCCCTGTTAAATAACTGTCATACAATCCCTAAATGCTTGCACTGCAGACACTTCCAGCCCTAAGATGAACATTAGCACTGAGAAATACCCACAACGTGTTCATTTTGAAGGTCTTTGTCATGGCAGTCTATTCTGTATGTGAAGAAAAACAATATCAAACAAAAAATGTATGCTTTATGCTCTCTGTGATCCTAACAGCAGTCACACTCTCAACACTCGCAGAGTGTCTCAGAGATTCCCTGTCTTCAACCAGAGGAGGGCAGTATTTGTACATAGTTAACACTGCAGTGTCTATTCAAAGCTCCACTCGGGGTTGTGTAACACATGCTATCTGTTACACCTTAGATCTAGAGTTTTTATTCTAAGTATCATGTTTGGCACCAAAGATATTGGAAACAAGAACTGGACCATTGTGCGTTGCATTTGGGTGCCTCGGAATATGTGGAGAATATTTAAAGGTATTATCTATGCAGTTCTATGCTTAAGTTTGCTTTGCTTCATGAAGCACACTCTTCGTTTTGAGAGCTCTGTAACTTCAAAAAAAAAGCATTAGGCCTTTATCTTACGATATATTATTTAAAATAAAAAAAGAAATATGTGCAGACTGTTGTGTTTTCTGTCCAATGTTTTCCATCACAAGCTTAAATGGACTCACTGGAAGACACAAAGACTAACCACATATATTGTTTTACAGTGATTATGTGAGGCCCTGTTCAGACTCTGTACAGACGCTTTGATGTTGAGGTAATGGAAAAAGATAGTTCGCTCACAAATAAACACGTGTAGGCCCACCCACACACAACCTCAGGAGTTCAATGTGTAGCTTTTAATTGAAACAATTTGAACAAAAGTTCCATTAATATACAGAGAAATTGTTTACAGTGCAGTATAATAAATACATTCTGACCTATACAACTAGAGTATATGCAAAAACTCTGCTTTGAAATAAAAGGACGAAACAATATTTCAAGTGCTTTTCGTTACAGAACATTCAAATTCCCTCATTGATTTACATTTCATAACATCACCTGAAGTAGATTTACACTTCAATTTACACTGAAATCATTCAACATCGCAAACAAGACTAAATAAACTGCTGAACCATGTCTTAACCCATCTGTATATGCAAGAAGCTGTTTTAAACATTTTACACAATAACATGTAATGATATTCTGGGCAGCTTCATATATTCAGCAAGAGATCAATAATGTTGTGTGATATTTTAAGTAGCAGTGTGCCATTTAATTACAATCATACTATACATTGTTGGCCCCCTGTCTCTTCTTATTAGACCACTCTTCAGTCTTGTATATCTTCATATATGCTGCAGTTACACCTGCCTTTTCAATATGACTTTAATCATCTGACCATGTACAAAAAAATGCTAAGCGCTTGTCATTTACATTTTTCTGGTACTGAAGAGGTTACTTCAGAATTTACAGTTCATACAGACAGCATTAAATAAGGCCGCAAAGCTGCACGCTGTTTGAGTTGATTGAGTGCTTGTGTGCTTATAGCTTGGCTACGGCAGCCTGAATAACCTCGACGACTTTGTTGCAAGGCTGCAGGGGGTCATACTCTGCAAAGACGTGGCATACGTTCTCCATGCCTGCCTCGATGCCTTTGGCCACAAAGCCAAACATCCTGGCGGAACAAAGAAGCAACAGATCAGATTAGATTTGGATTCAAATTGAACAAAACAGACTTACAAATGTATTTATTTTGCACAGCAGAAAGTGAGCCCCAGAACCTGTGAGGCTTCACTTTGAAACGACTTTACTGTCATTAAAAAAAACATCATTCTGATATAGAAAGTAATGATAAACAGGAAATAACTTTACCTTGCACCAAACGTAGTACCTTTCATCCACCTGTGAGAGTGAAACAGTTCAAGTTTAAGATTACAATGGTGACATTTGTTTTTATATTTTCTGTTCACAAAGTCCATATAATGACCAATAGACACTTTACATATGGTGGTGAATTAATGTGACAAACACCGGAGCAGTATTGAGCCGATCTATGAGCTCTTTACTCTCATTAAATAGCATCAACATCACATAATGTTTCCAAACCACATCATGTTTGAAAGATGCGAAAAAAGAATCTCTTTTATTTCACTACATGTTATATACTCACAATCTATTGTCTGGATCGTCACCACCGTAGCTAAGCAGGTGAGCAGGGTAATGGCGTCTGAAGAAAAGCCTGTAGAACAGATGATTATGGAGTTAGAAATGCACAAAATGTTGAACACAAACCACATATCACTCCCATCATGATTTTGTTGTGTACTGGAAGGAAGATCTCTGCACAAAGTGCACAGGATGTGTGTTCTCTTACTTCCTGTTAATATCTGTCAGTGTAACACCCTTCAACGACACCTTCAGGTTGACCACAGTTGGTGTAAAGGATCCTGAGACCTTCTCAAATGTTGCAGACACTGCTCTCTGAACAGCACAAGGGCCCGTCAGCATCTCCGTGGGAACAGCATTCAGGTAGATGAAGTTGCAAGCTATGGAATGGATGAACTCTGTGTTATTATATAAGAATTAAACGTGTAGGGTAGCAACATAAGTTCAAATGAGTGACGCACCCTCCAGCCCCTTCCTGGTCGATTAAGCCGTATCTATTTTATACTCACAGGAAACCATATAATCTGCACTTCATAAGAAAGAGGAACTGTTTGTGTGTGCGTGTTTTTATGGGGAATAAAGGGAATTTACATTAACATAGCGTTTTGCTAATTGTGGGAACTGTTGGGTTCCTTCACAATCTCTAAGGTCTGACCTTGCTATGTAACGAGTCTTGAGCTGTACAAATAAAACCTAATTGAATTGAAATAGATATACATGAAATATGTATGGAAATAAATGGAAACTATGATACAAACCACAATACACCTATCATACAATCTTGTAGTGCAATACAGGACGACCCAACCGCGATAATACTACTCTGTTTCAAGTTCACCACATTTCAGAAACAAGTATTGTACTTTTCTCCACTACATATATTAGATAGCTGCTCAGCAGATTAAGGTTCTCATATCAAGCTGAAACAATTATCTTGAATGTTCAAATCAGACCTTTTACCCCTCATTGCTACTGAACTCTGGTTATAACTTATATAACTCATATGTCTGTTCCATTTGACATGTGGACAACACTTCCTGCACTGACACACCAGAATATGATGCAGCGTCCTTCAATCAAGCTCATTTATTACACTTGAATCTGCTTTTCCCGCCATGATCATTCAAAATAGCTGCTGTACTGAGCGTCAGAAGTCAGGAAATCTTTCCTCCATCTGTTCGCTCATTAAAAACAAGATGGCGATAACGTTATTTAAATGTTTTCTTATGTTAACATTATTTCAGAGGGAGGCCTGCTGACACCAAACTGGCATAGTTCACCTCAATCAGCAAGCTAGCTGTAAGCATCTCCAACATGGCTGCAACATGTTATAGCCACAGAAGAAGAAACGGTAAGACGGCACATTAAAAACACGTTGATGTAGTTTCAGAAAACGTCTGTAGCTGAAATGTGCCATTTATAAACAGCTGTTGGGCTTCCTCATTTGTCTGTTGTTCCTTGTTCTCCAGTGAAGTTTCACTCAGTAAGAATTGTTTAAAAAAAGCTTGTAAACTAAATCTCTATGATAAAACCTTCTGTTATATGCTAGTGGAAATAAACAGGGGTGAGTTGTATCTTATGTAGTCTCACCTGCTTTATTCTTGTTCTCTGAGGCTGGTTTGTCCTTTGTCTTTTCCTCTGCTGTGTCCAGATCTGTGTATGCAAATAATGCATTAATAAATTAACACACAAACACACACACACACACACACACACACACATACAGTCTTGACTCGAAGACATTAATTTCTTGGAGACTTACTTGAAACTTACCTACATCCACCTACCTACCACTTCCCTAACCCTCACTCTAACCATAACTTAAATCTAACCCTAACCTTAAACCCTAGCCTTAAAGTTTAATGATTTATATTATGGAGTAAACAGACTTTGATCCCCACAAAATAAGTTAAACGTAGACCACCCACACACACACACACACACACACACACACACACACACACAAACTGAGACATAATAGGCTGATTTACTCACCTTGGGAGTGGAGCAGTAATTTGCAGGGTAAGGCGTAAGCGGAGATAGTGTGCTGGTAGACCAGGGCTGAGAGACTACCTTTAAAAGTAATAGAAAACCACAGCTTTGTCTGAGCATGATGGAGAAATTCATTGTGTCAATATGGAAAACAAAAAGTCAAATATTGGTGTTTTGTGTAGGTTATTTTCTAGGATGTGTATGGTAGCTTAGCTTTTTAACATTGAGTCTGGATATATTTGTTGTGATAAGAAGAGGTTGAGATGGAAGCGGTTATTTCATTCATATTATTCTGAGTAAATCAGGTGACTGTAATGGAAAAACGTTTGCAATGTGAAACTGACTACAGCTCACTACAGCAAAGGTGAAGAAATGTGATGACTTGATTTCATTTTCTCTTCATCACAGCCATGAGGCAGGGACAGCAGTGCACGAGTCTCAATCCTTACACTCATAGGCTCTGATAAGAGGGAAGACAACGATAATCCTTGATAATGGCTCTGTGGGTGTGAGAACACGCCCTGTGAACTCATACTTTTGAATAAATAACAAGAACCCTGCGCTGCTGCCCACCCACATCCCATGAGGCCAGACATGGCTGACTCAGGTCTGGTGTGGCAGACGTCACCAGAGCAGGATGCGCAGTCATATTGTGTCGGCGAGTGGATTGTAAGAAAAAATTATAACTTCTAGATGTGTAACTGTAGGTGTTGCAGGCTTTTACAGCACTTACCAAAATATGGTTCCTGAGAAGATCCTTTGACACGTACGCCCTTAGTGGATGATTCAATGAGGAAATGTCTGACAGCGTCTGAACTGCTCTCTCCTGTTTAAAAAAAAGGACAAATGTCAGGACATTTTACACTGAACTTTAAGTGTCATTATAAAGAAGTACTGGAAGTGATTATTATACCTCGTATTGATGAATTATTTTAATTGATGCATTTAACATTTTCTTTTTTAGTCTCCTCCACCACATACAGCCCTAAGCAACAAAAAGCAAGATGATCCCACAGCAAACCCACACATTTGAAATGATAGAATAGCCTGTTTCCCATTATGCAACTAGGGTACTTTACCCTAGCCACCACATATTTTCAATGCAATGCATTCATTCAATTCAACTGTACTTCTTTGAGATCTCTCATTTCCATCACATCTTATAAATCATTCATAATTTTGTGTAACAAAATTCTTGTTTCACTATAAACTGTTCCTGAAAACCCCAGGAAGAGAAAATATTATAGTGACATCCCTGGACCAAGGATAATTGTGTTTTGATTATCCTTGGAGATATAATTTAGCAGAGGAGATTGAAACCGACAGCACACTGTAAGCCTGCTTACAGTGAAATGGCCTTGGTGCCAACACACTGCTCTCATGTCTTTTATATCCTCATTCCAAAAACAGTTGAAAAAATAAATCTGTAAATGAAGTAAGCCTCAAAATTGTTTTGTGAGTGAGGTCCATTTTTTTCTGCTCAGATTGCTTACAGTTCCATAAACAGCTGGTTTTCCTTTGTGTTTACACAGGACATACTGTGGGTGGAAAAAATAACAGCACTGTCTCCTGCCTCGCCACAGATAGCTGGATGTCGTCAGACATGACCATACACATCAGCAGAGTTGAGTAAGTGATTCCCTGTGCCTCTCAGGACTCCGCTATAGACAAATGAGCTCAATGAGCTCTCTGCTACACCGTGTTCACATTGTTTGTCTGTGGAGGTGGAAGCTGCGGCATTCAAGGCCCCGTATGTCCTGTATCTGACCAAACACTGCTGTTTCCTTTAATGGCATGTGATTCAGAAGGGCTCATTAGGGTCAGGCCACTGCACTGCAATGATCATTAATGAAAAAATGTACCTGGGTAGGCGGAAGCAGTGAAGTTGGTGGGACTTAGGTTCACCTTCATGGCCAGACCGAAACTGCCTCTGAAAGAGGTACTGTCTCTCACCACAAATGTTCCAGCTTCCTTGTCTTTTACCAGAGCTTCAGCTAGAATGAAGTAAACATCACAGAAAATGCTTAGAGGTATCACAGAGATGAAAAAAGAACTGGTTATTATTAGATGAATTACCTTGAGAGCTCGACTAAAGCCACATTGTCTTCATATATGTTTGAAGTGTTTTTAGTCATTCTCACCTTCTGCTCTGCTGCTATGTGGACGGAACCAAAACTTTGAAGTGTCCATGACAAATTTCATCGAGGGCTGACTGCCACTAAAACGGGCCCGGACACCTAAACAATCATAAAGATAGTTATGTCAAACAGAGTTGTAGAATGTGGTAGCTGTTTTAAATTCGACTACTGTGACACCTGCGACTCACTGTGAGAAGAAAATGGCTTCGAGGGGGACACAGTGTCTGTCTGTATCAAGTCCATTCCTGGTCCAGGCAAATGGATGTGCAGATTTGGTTCTGGTGCACCATTCACCAACAGTATAGGAATGTCGGTCAAAGACCCAGAGAGTGAAGCTGGACTGCTCTGTGCTCCTTTGCTGTGGAGCTCCTGCAGGTGTCCCTGTTTGGTCAGTGAGGGCCTGTCTGGGCTGGTATAAAACAGCCTCAGTGTGGACACATCACTGAAGGAGCCGGGCGTACCGGTGAGGTTGGACTCTGGAGAGTCCGCATCTTCACTGGCCAACGACAGGGAGCTATGCAGGATGGAAGAAGAAGTTGATCAATTTCATAGATCCGTACCCTGTTCTTATATGTGTTTCAGTTTGTATCAGTGAGCTTTAACTGTTACATTAGCATGAACCAAGACAAATGGAAAAGATAACAACACAGTGTTTAAGGTACATGGCTAAATTCTCTAATATGTGATTGTTATCATCAAATATCTGGTTTTGCAGCATCCATCTAATAATTCCAGAAATCTTTATCTGTCTGTGTGTGGCTAGTTATATTTAGAACCGGTTATCTTATCGGCTTCCCACTGCATGCCCAAGGCAGAGCAGTGTCGAATTTGATGTGATTTGGACGCACAGAGTAAACAGGTGACCACAGCTCTGGAGCAGCAGCGGCTGGGGAAACTTAAGTGCCATCATGACAATAGCCACAACTGATTCTCCAGTTCAGGGTTCTGTGTACTGAGTTGAGCTTCTCTGAACTTTGAATAAACAGGTGAACAGCTCTTTGTGCAGCAGCGGTTCTGCAGCAAGTCTTTACTTACTGCAGCTCAACAGGTCCCTTTTACAGTTTCAGTAAGGAAACCTGCAACCAGCATCACCACAAACCAAATGTTTAGAATGTGCACTGCACTAATATTAACAATACATTGAGCTTTTCAGTGAGTTTTACCTGCCAAGGATGTAGCTGGTGTCTGAGCATGTTGACATGGAGAGGAGCGAGCTGGCACTGTTTCTGTTGGGGTGTGACAAGAGGGATCCTTGTGAAAACGACATGTCCTGCCTTGTTGAGGGAATTCTTCGGGGTGCACTTCCACATGGCAGCGGAGGCAGTGAGCACGTTGGGGAGCTGGAGAATACCGGCATGCCATTGGTCCTGCAGCTGAGACTGCTGTGTGAAGGGATGGGTATACTGGGTGACACAGACTGGCCCGTGGTATGCGAGTCGCTGGACGAACATCCTCTTGGGACCAACACGCAGTTGTAGATATCTTGATCTGAGCACAAGAATGGAGAAGAAAGTGTTTGCAAGAACAAAAAAAACAGTCTACTGAAGGGGATTTTCTGAAGGATATGAAAAAACTGCATGGTGCCTGATTTCTTTCACTTCATGTGTTAGTTTTCCTTCAGCAGAAGGGACTTGTCATCCTGAAACTCACATATCTTTCATGCATGTACCTGTTGGAGTATTTCAGTCCAAATAAATGCATTAAATTGTGTTTGCACAGTTTCTGTCTCAACTTGTTCTTGTACATCTGATGATCTGTCTGACTGAGTCTATGACCTCAGGAACATACTGTAGCCTGTGGGCAAGCCACACTCATGGCCTCTGCAACCAGAGTTACATAATTATGACGAAAGCTCTAACAGAATCATACATACATTTTTCCGACTCAAAGTTGATGAGTATTGTTACTGTTTTGCAACAGAAGTACTTATCAACACCTCACCTGATTTGTGTCTTTTACTGGTGAAATAAACCAATGAATGGTCTGGTTTCTCAACACTGTTATTTCATGTACTTCAAACTCACATTCACTACATCTCTCAAGAAGAGACGAGAACCAGGAGATCCATGTATATGCTTTGACTCTGGTGTTCACATAATGAGCAGCACAGTTCTGAGTGAAGATACTGCTGTTCCACCCTCGTGTGTCTTGTTGGCGAGCTTCTCTGTCTGTTGCATGTGAAGGGTGTGGCACTTCTCTGGGCAGTAATCCCAGAACAGACGAAGTGGTGCAATTACCCCATTATAAAAAGAAATTTATCTCAAATCTCAAAAAGGGCGGGTAAATTTCCAAAGCCCCAGGCTATGTGTTCTGTCGGCTTTGTGGTTTCAAAGCGCTCTGTGTCACGCCGCCAGAGGTGCAGTTTGAATAGTGTAGCTACACAAAACACTCTTTACCTGCAGGTGGGCTGATGCATGACGGACTTTTGTTGACCTGAATGGGTTCAAATGTCGGATCCAAATCCAGCATGATCTGGTTGAGATTATCCAGTGAGATGTCGAGGTCAGAGTCACCATGGTTACCACTGGGCCTCGTGGGACTGGGATGTTGATTGGCTGTCTCCTGAGCAGTGTCCATGCGAATAGTTTGACCCACTCTCAGAACATGGTTGGGAATCATCTGGGACATGCCTTTAGCTGTAGGCATCATGTTAGGAGAGCTCACAATCTTCTGTGACAACCAAAGACACAAATACAATGGAGAGAGATCAGTTACACTGTCTTCACTGGAGTTACAGCCTCGCTTTTGTCCTCTTTGCAAAACAGACTTATCATAAATCCTTTTTCCCAGATACTCATATTCTTAGATAATGAAGTAATGTACCAAACATAAACACATCCTCAACTCTTTCAATATTTGGTGATTAAAGCGACTTGGCAACATTTGATCAGATGTTCTTTGCTAGAAAATGTCATGCATTTTAATGCAATTCTACAAACATTAGGTTAGACTTTGTCTGCAACCTTGATTCCAGTATACTGACATTCACTGGAGCCTTCCCACATGTTTCTCAACCTATGCATAAAACCACTCAATAAGAAATGACACAGGCTGAGTAAACAGCTTACTTCAATGCTGATATCAGCATGAATATTTGTCCAGGAAGGGTGTGTAATATGAGGGATGATCTGTTCACGCTGTGCCTCCCTCTCCATGTTTCAGACAAGGAGTGGTGCTCAGTGAGTCACCCAGGTGACTGATGGTTACTATAACTACACCTGAGTGTTTTTCTACAACAGCCAGAACTCTAATGGTGAACGTATTTTTGGAAAGTAGCTAAATGGCAATTTTCAGGGAATTTCAAAATGATTTTTCATCACATGAGCTGTAATATAACTTTTGAATTGTTCAGCACATCTAGTAATGAGGTATTGAGAGCATACAGATGGAGCTTCGTCATTTGTTTCAACATAGCTCTTTAAATCCAGTGCTATAACCTGCTGCAATAATAATAAAAGAATAAAAAACTATATTTATAATGAATTTGAGGCAATGCAAAAAAATAGTTCAAAGAATGCATACCTTATACTGCAACTGATATTCTGATCAATGAAGTGTTACACACAATGCACAAATACAACATAAACATGGCACAAACCATAAACACAAACACATAATTCCAAATATATTATTAAAACCCATAAAACTACATATACCTGTAGAGGTCCATAGTATGGTGGCCATTAAATTAATACATAGCTTTGTCAACTGATCTCAATATGAAATAAAAGGCTGCCATACCTCAGGCGACTCTCCCCATGGATCTTTTCATATGTTCTACATTGTTTATTTCATTAACATGTCTTAGTAAAGATAAAGTTAGATCCGCTTACCTTGTTTTCCTCTGGTCAGGATTCCACTGCTGGAATGTTGTCTCTACTCTCAGACTGTTCCCTGTTTTGGTTTGACACTTCATGTTCCTTACATGCTATTATTAATGAAGTCCCAACCCTTTTTCCACTGAGCCTATCAGCTACAAGGATCACTAATCTCTGCAGCTCCAACTGATGATGTCATCTTAGTTGTGTAACATTCATGACTAGAGGGCAGAGTTTTTGGCTTTAGATCAGAGACTCCCAGTAGCTTTTTATCTGATGTGTCTGATTTTGCTGGTATGGTTGATGAGTTTATTAATGCTGTTGAATTAGTTTAACTCCACTTCATATCTGTGGCCACATGTTCTCTGAGATCTAATGGGTTTTTTATCTCTTTTCAACTACTTCTGGTCTCTTGCCTGTGATATTGCAGGTCATTTTGTAATGGTGCATGTCCATCCACTCTGGGTGTTTCTGCTCACCTGAAGCTTATAGAAAAACAGAGGAGGCGGTAGCGCAGTCCATAGCGACTTGGCTTGGAGGGCTTGGAGGGCTTGGAGGGAACCGGAGGGTGGCCGGTTCAAGTCGGTTGCTTAAGGTGCCCTTAAGCAAGGCACCGAACCCCCTGCTTTGCCAGGCGCCTTCATGGCTGTGTGGTCACTCCGTTCCATGTGTGGTCACTGTGTTCCATGTGTGGTCACTGTTCCATGCGTGGTCACTGTGTTCCGTGTGTGCTCCGTTCACACAGATGGGTTAAAAACATGTTTGCATGCTGTGTGTGGACCATAAAGATAATCTTAATCTAAAATCCAGTAATTTCCTCAGACAAACAATGAGATCTGGTGTGTAAAAGGAGTTAAGGATTAAGCTATTCATATGCCATCATCAGATAAATTTCCAAGATACACTTCACCATAAACCTGTTTTTCCATTTAAATTAGTCACTGTTTTTGTAATGAGACCAGCCTATTTCCACACTCATTGTCGAGGACTGGGGAACTTGTTGTACCACTTAGCTCCTTAGCAGGTTCTGTGCACAATTCTGCCCATTGCAGCTGATAAACACTGACAGGCTCTTCAATTCAATGTTGAATTGACCTTTAGTGTCAAACCGTCTCAGAAAAGGTTGACTGTTGGGAGCTTGATGAGCGGAAACAGAAGATCTCCGGCAAATGTGTTTTCTGTCTGTCAGCAGTATATACAACTGTCTCAAAAGACATCCTGATTTGGTTATGGTGAGGGATTCCTCAGCTTTTTCTCTAAATTTGCTGTGAAGAATTAGATTCTCTTTTAGGGTAACCCTGGAGTCGTAACCTTTTAATGATGATGTCATCGAGGGTCAACTCTTATAACATCATATCTTTCCCCTCGGCATAATATGTGTTGGTTATATTACTTGCAGCTGTGTTCCTCATAATTGTCATGTTAATGATACTCTGAATATGTTTACATTATGCATATACATTAGTTTATTGCTGGAATCCATCTCAGAATCAGTAACTTTCTTCAGTTAAATCTCAACACGACTTGCAAAGACTAAAAGATGTATCAGTAGCTGCCCTGACAAACAAAGAGATATTTCATCCATGGCTGAACTTTTACAAATTTATTTAGTCAGTTACTTTCTGTGAAGCTTTGTTTGAAAATCATATCCTTCTTTCAGCTGAGCAAAATTCTCACCGTGTGTCCTTTTGTCTCTATAATGAGCTATATTCTAAATCAAATTAAATTCTTGAAGGTACTTGCATTTTTTCCTTCTGCTGCATGGTTACAGACTAATTTCTTTCAGTGTCTTCCAGTCGCATTTAAGATGAATCCAAAGTTCTTCTCATGACATAAGAGAGAAGAATTATAAATAAGCCTTATAACACATTGAGACCTTTTTTACTGTGCTGATGTTATTTTATTTTTCAAATGTAGCTGATTCCTTTGAGTGTTTTTGTACTCTTAAATATATGCTTGCTTGACTATACTTACCCAGAAGAGAAAGCTTAAACTACACAGGAAACGGCTGTTAGCAGTTCTTATGAGCAAAAGGTGTTCAAAGTTCAAAGTGGTGACTTAGTCCAACTCTTGAACCTTGATCTTTTTCTATTGTAGCTTTTAATCTACCTACTGATCCCACAATCATCTGTCTGTGTTCCAAGGAAGCGCAGTGTCAAATTTGGTGCAATTTGGACACGTGACGTGTTCAATATTAATAAGAATTGAATAAAGAGACACACAGGGCTGCGGCCATGAGGGGGTTAACAGGTGGTTTGTGAACCAAGTTTAGCATGTTTTCTTCCATGTCCCAGGATAAACTACAGCAGTGACCAACAACTGGCAGCCAATGGGTCAAAACTGGCCTGACATGCAATGTGTGAAAAAATAACTTGTATATTTCACATATGTGAAGAGTGATAAAAAAAAAACAACAACTCAGTTTTGTTTTATGAAAAACATTGACTATCGTTGCAAAAAACTGATTCTGGTTGTTCATGAAAGGACGTTACAACAGGTTACGTCAGGCAAAGCAAACAGCCCATTCCAAACAGAGCGTGCAGTGCACTAGTTCTCTTAATGCTGCATTTTAATACAGTTATGATAAATGCATTTGAAATTTCAGTGAATTTAAACTTATTTAACTAAAATGGTGCAAAAAATAATAAAAACAGTACACCAGTGTTTTTTTTCTTCAGTGTGTTTAATGTTCAAATGGTGAAGTAATAACACTAATGGTTTTTCATTAACACTGTGAATTCTTTGTAATACTGTACACTGTAGCCAAAGCAAAAGCTAAATATTGACTCTTCTAAACTAAAGACTGAACTCAAAATGGCAGCAACAGAAGCAGCAACAACTCACACAGTATGTCACTGAAATGACAACGTCTGCTATGTGCATGTCATATACAAGGTTGATGTGAGACTTATATTCAAATGTTCAACAGTCCACGGTTTGAAGGTGGGAATAGGTTGTTGTTAAATCTGACACAGCTTTATGGAGAGAACGTGGTGGTTGTCTCAGTGTCGTTGGCCACTGAGCTCCTCCTCCTGCCGCACGTATACCTGAAGAACTGTTCCTGGCTCATGCATCCAAAGTCCTTCAGAAGCTTCAGGAGGTCATTACGGAACTTTACCCCAATAAAGGCATAAACGAAGGGGTTTAAACAGCACCTCAGGAAGGCCACACACTGGGTGACATCTGTGGCGTAAAGGAGACGATTCTCATAGTGGCAGTCCTCGGTTCCCCCTTGTGCTGTAACAAGTGTGGTCCAAAATAGGACCAGGTTATAAGGTACCTGACAGACCAGGAAGACAGCTACTACGGCAAGAATCACCTTTATGGCCTTATTCCGTTCAAAGTTACGAGCCTGGCAAAGGGTCTGGACAATGCTGCTGTAACAGACGCTCATGACCAGGAGTGGAAGTGCAAAAGCCAAAACGATCTGGCTTGCCTGGATGCCGACACGGAGCTGGTCAGAACTGCTGGAGTACGGGGTGCAGGTTTTGTTGTTGATGGTGGTATACATCATGTCTGGTATAGAGAAGATCATTGCCATAATCCAAATGACAGCTGATGACACCTTGCTGAAAAACACGGCTTGGGAGCGGTGACGGTGAGCGGAGACTGCTTTGGAGATTGCAAAGTAGCGATCCACGCTGATGAAACAGAGAAGGAGCATGCTGCTGTAAAAGCTGACCTTGTAAATGGCATGCATGGATTTGCACACTAGCAGGCCAAGCACCCACTCTGCCATGGAGTTGGCTGCCCAGAAGGGGAGGGTCAGAGCAAAGAGCAGGTCTGCAAAGGACAGGTTGAGCAGGTACACATCTGTCATGGTCTTGAGACGCTTGAAGTAGAAGTAGGTTAGGATGACCAGGAGGTTTCCTAGCAGCCCCAGGAAGCAGATGATGGAGTAGAAGGTGGACATAAACCAGAGACGGAACTGGCGGTTGGATTCTTTCACACACAGTGCAGGAAAGTCATCATAATCCACAAAAGAGTAGTTATATTCTGAGTAGTTCATGGCAGTTGAATTATCTCCGTACTGAGACAAGCAGGACTGTAATCAAAGACACATCACACTTATAAATCAGAAACATTTGGCTATTAGTTTTCTGACCTTTGACACATTTTCCTTTGGTAAACCTTTACCGATGACTTCCTTAAAGGGAATGGTTAGCAGCGGGGTTTGGTTTCACCTCGTGGATAGAAATTACTACAAACATCTCATTATCTTTTATACTTCTAACTTCAAAAGCAAAAGATGCTGCACTTGTCTGTTTCTCTCACCTTAAAAGTCATAACCCATATCAGCACAGCTGGCACGAGGTTTAGAAGACCTGAAAAATTGAATAAATCATTAAACTTCATTCTGATGTTTTTGGATTCACCACAATGCACACTTCATTCTTTAATCTGAACTCTGATGGTACTCACCACTGACAGAAACCATGTTGACTGAGTAGGACGCTGTAGGTAAAGCCACTATACACAGATAAGTTCAATGTGTGTGATGCGTGCTTCCCCCTATTGAAATGAAAAAACTCCCTCAGCCTTGAAGTATCACGTGTAAAAACCAAGAAAACCACAGGCTCCACCTGAAATTTGATTTATTTTTAATTATTGGTGCTGTAACATACTGTTAAATAAAATATATACACAAATAAATCACTGTGAGCTGCATTGGTTAGATGCACGTATTCTATATGCTGGAGGCTGGCTACTTTGACATAAAAGATATATAACCTCTCTCTCTAGATTCAATTTATTCTCTGTTTTCTGAAGGGATATTAACATTATAAAAAAGTCCACTATACCACTACATTTTGGCGAAATCACTCCAGAAGACATAAGCACAACATTTGTGTTCAATTGGATGTTTTGTCAAGCATTTTTGTGTGATTTGTTAAATGTGGTCAAATGACTATGTTTGCATGACAGAGACAACTGTCATTTTATGAATTTATGCAAATTAGTTTCAGGGAAATCTGATGCACTCATTTGTGATTTTTTGTTCAGAGCCACATGATTCAGTCAGTGGATAAGAGATCAGACACAGCTCAGCAACACCACATGTGTACTTTGACTTGTAATGTATTCAATAGTTAAATAATATTGGAGGTAAACAACAATATACATCATCTTTTTATGTACAATTACCCAGTTTATCAGTTTTTAGCTTAAATGTGTTCAGCTCTTTACATTCTACTGGTTACCTGTCACTCAAATGCTTTATCAGCATGACCATAGTTATAAAATGCATTTAGTAAAATGTTTACATGTGACTCTGCCTCTTTTTCCTAAAACAAGGAAGTTATACAATGATTTGTTTTTGTATTACTATAGAATGTAACATAGAATACAATGGAGACTGACTTTTTGTATTGGACAGCTGAAATGCTTTTTTGCCCACCAACTCATTAGATCTGCACATGCTTCTGCACACCTGTATCTCTGTGGTTGCGGTTTCCAGCTTTCACTTGAGGTAGAACTAACCACAAAGTAAAAAACACAGCAAGCTGCAGTGCAATGTGCATCGTTAATATTTACAATAAACGTAATTATTGCACTACCTTGCAAGATGCTGCAACACTATATCCTGAAAACCGATGTAGGGTATCAGTCATTCTTTGGGCAGTAATGCTGAACTTGTGTACAAGTGTACACCCCCGGGTGAGGACTGCAGATTCTGAAAAACAGGAAATCATTACAATTCCCCCTCGTCTTACCCACTTCCCTTACCTGTACTGTGCACAAGGCAAACATGCTGCATGCAAGCATGTGCACACCAGTGTAGAATATACTTGTGTTTGATCATCAGAGAATAGTGTTTCACAGGATACTGCAAGATGTACATCGAAATTATCCATATATAAACAAAAGAATCATTGATTGAATTAATCTACTATTATACCACATCAAACATTTTTCAACAACTGAAGAGAGACCTGGTTCCGGGTAAAAAAGTTTATTGGTATAAATATGCAAAAGGAAATTCATTTTAAGACTGCATGTTTATGACTGCTCCTCAAGCTGTTTTACGACAACATGAAAATACATGTTTTATCAAACCTCGTTACACTGTGTACACAAATACGGTACATTTAAGTCTTCTGCTGAAAATTGCAATATTGACAACAACACAGAAATGTTCTAAGCGTACTGCTTTTGATTTGATTGACAGCAAGCAAACTTGAGAACACTGGTAGTTGAGCATTGTACAGCACTGATGATCATGTGATATAGGCTACTCATGAATTGACTCAGCTGAGCCCAGGATAACCAATACACAAGTATAATTAAACTGCTGATAATAAATAACAAATATAACTACTACTAAGGACTACAAACTCCTGAGACAATACTGTCACTGTAATACTGATAGTAAACAAATATTCTCCTGCCAAGGAGATGGTCACTCAACTCCACTCTTCACAAGCAAGCCAACTTATTTTGAAAAAAATTCAACATGCAAAAATAACAGTAAAAGCAACAATGACACTACAATACAGAAGACAAAGTTTAATATAACACTGAACAATGTTTGTCTCATGTGACAGCTTTGTTTTCATATACCAGCCTTAATTTGCAATGATCTGGGGCATGCCAGACATAGTGCGAGAGATATGTGTCAATATGTGCTGAAGAGGGCTTGTCTGGGTTCTTTCAAACGGCAATGAGGCCTGTCACTGTGTAGTGCTTTCACATGGACCACTGTGGAACTCTGCAGCCATTTTTTGGACAGGACCACTGATTTGTTGGCTTCAAGTGCTTTAAATGTTTCATTTATTTCGATTCAGCCCATGTCTGTGAGCCTTGGTGTTTTCAAACTGAACGCAACATCCTCTTTGCCTCAGGCTTGTCAAACAATGAGCCCATCTGAACACTGATAAGAGAGATGATACTGTGCAATAAATGTTATCAGGTGATCATAGGCCAACAGAACTAACAGCCTTACAGTTCACAGTCGGGTATGTGTTGGACTCAGTGGGCTGCTCTCGCCTTGCTGGGCCCCTCTGATGGCTCACTGGTCGGGGCATCTTCTGTCTGAGCAGAGGTGGTCTCTGAGCCAGTGTTACTGTCACTGGTTCCTTCCTCCATGGCTCCCTCTGGGACGCTCTCCTTGTCCTCTGACGCCCCTTCCTCGCTGCCGGGATGAGCCTCAAGCTCCTCTGATGCCTTCTGCTTCACTGAGTAAAAGAAAACAAAATTACATGATGTAAAATCAAGACAGCCTACATAGCACCAGAATCCACAAATAAACCCAAGGGTGGCTCACCTGGAGCGTCTGTGGTGTTGGACTCTGTGTCCTCGACTTCCTTGCTGATACTTTCAGCGAGAGGATTTTGCTGAGACTTGTTGCCATGTGTTGCACAAATGTGTTTTTCTTCTTCTGCTAAGACACAGGTGGGGGCCTCTCTTGCACCGCGGTCCCCTGCATCTCTCTCACGTTCTGCTATCCGCTTGCGCGCTGCCTCTTCTGCTGCAGAAATCTCTGCAGAAATCTTCTCCATGTCCACTTCCACTTTCATACAGCACAGCTAAAAAGGGCAGGAATTGGGGATTAAATGTTGAGTTTCGTTTTGGCTGACCATGCGTTTGCAGTTTGAACTGACTTAATGCAATTCAATAATGTAACTTAATGAACGAACATAGTTTGTCTCTGTACAAGGGTGTTTCATGTTCAGTCTTGATTTGACTTCTCAGTCAGTGAAAGGAAGGAGCTCTGTAAAGGATAAATGGCGCCGCCTGTTGTGAACAGGGGTCAGTGCATTCAGCTGCACAGCGCTGCATCTCATTCCAAAACAACAGTTATTATGGGGGCCACAAATTACAAATGATGACAGCAATATGATTGCCAGAACATGTGGATGGAGTTAGCAGCAGCTGGTGGCAGTAAGACAGATGTAGACGGGCACATAACCAGAGCTGCACACTGTACAGTTAAACATTCAAAATGAAGGTTGCGTGCGAGTAAGTGATGACCAAGAAGCCGTACCCTTTTTAGCTCATTTGTGAATGACTCTGTGGCTTCGATGAATTTTCTTTTCTTGTCCTGGTGGCGGTCTTCAATCTGAAGCAACTCGGCCTCCAGTTTTCTCTGTGACACAAGACACACAGGCACCATTGTTATGACATTATTGACCCATAAGAAAGACAAAGCTGTCAATGTTAAATCCCACTTTTATGTGGAGCATAGAAGAACTGACCACAGCGTACATCATACCTGGTGTACCATCAAAGACTGGACCTGGCGTTTAAGGACCTGCATGCGAGCCGTAGTAACAACCGATCGCACATCTGGGACTACACTCTCACTGAGAATCTCGCTGATCAGACGATGGTTGCGTTGGAAACGAGTTGCAGCTGAGTGCTTTATGGAGAATCCGTCATCGTATTCTGAAGATAGGAAAAACATTTTGAGTTACGTTTGTCTTGTGTAATATATTTTGATCCCCCTGTCAAAAGGCAATGAGTAGAGTCACTAACGACTAGAATGAGAAGGCTTTGGCAATCTACAGCATGGATGATTCAAAACAAAAGGATGCAGATACTGCTGTATCTAGAGACTGTAAACATAAGGAAGATATTGCTCAATATTTATAGAGTCAGAGTTAAGTGCAGGCCATTATGTCAAAATACATCCTCAAGCAAAGCAAAACTGTTATTGTTAGGTGAATGGGACAAGTGGTTAATTATACCCCACTGTACGTGCACAGAAGTTCCAAGATATAGTCAGCAATTTTCACTCGTCAGCGAATGCTTGTAATGGTCTTAAATGTACACTAATTCAAATACAGGATGATGATGATGCATGAAGATAAAATCCAACGAGTTCATCTACAGTGCGTCATCCGCAATAATCATCCACACTCGGCTGTGATAAAGACCAGATGGATCAAATAGGATTTCACTTGAATTTCAGTGAACCTTTCATGCAGATATGTTCAGAATAAAACACGACTATAATACTTTTAGAGCCGTCTTTGGTTTCAGGTTTGTCAGCCATTGTATTAGTGCATTATATTTGTCCATTTTCTCCTTTGCTCACGTTTTGTTGGGATGTTTCGGGAGAACATAAAACAGCTGACCTCAAGTCAGTTAAGAATCTTTCATCAGAATTCAGAACAAGATTGTTGACGATCAAAACATTTACAGTAGTGTTAGTTTTTGATACCAAAGCAAAAAAAGAAATTCACATACGGCATATTGATGTGTAGTTTAGGTCAAGGCATGTTTGTTAGATTTAGATGTAATTAATGAGACATGGAGGATCTACCAGATCTACAAGGCAATTATTAATTGAAATCTTGACAGCATAGCAATAATTAATCACTATTAATTTGGATATTTAAAGAAGGGATATATAAGATACCTAACAGATTTAAGTCAAATGAATTTACAAGATGGCCACCTAAACAAAAACATGAGCAAACACAACAAATAAACTAATGGACTCATGTACTCTTCAAACCTGTTTACTGGTATCATATCAACATCAAATTCATTTTTTCATTTCAGTTGGTTTTCCACTTGCTAACGCTGTTGCACATGATTATAATGTGTATGTACCAGGTCCTTGCTGGCTTTGTTGTGGTAAAACTTTGCTAAATCTCTCTTTGATACAAGAGCTCTCGGAGAGTATTAGCTGAACTTGCTGCTGCGGTGCACCAATGTGCACACCCTTCAAACTTTCCACAGAGCAGAAAAAAAAAGCTGAAGGTTTCAAAGGTGCACGCATTGGTGTTCTGACAGAAAAACAGTATAAGGTATAACAAATATAAGGTAATATACTCTGAAGGTAGGGTGTAAGGATTAAGCTTCTCCAAAGTTCACAAATTCAGTGGAGTTAAGTCTCACCAACATGTGGGACATTTTCCACTTTTACTTTTTGCATAACAGCAGTATAACACTGTAGCACAGGGGTCACCAACACGGTGCCCGCAGGCAGCAGGTAATGATTTGTTAAAAGGGTTTGTCAGTGGCTCGTGAAAATGGAACATTTTCCTTATGAAATGTTGTAGAAGTGTTCATCTGAAAATGTAAACAATTGCTGAGATTAATAGAAATAAAGTGTTGAATATTGATATTATCTGTTTCCCACCTTGTTAAGTCATTGTTGATAATTATTGTGAGAAATCATTCACATGATCAGTGTCTTCACACAGATGAGAATCATTTATCATTAATAATAATATATAACTAAAGRCAAACTGAGCAAATGTGTTATTTCAGAAGAGTGTATCAAACTGGTAGCCCTTCGTATGACTCAGTACCCATGAAGTAGCTCTCAGTTTCAACAAGGTTGCTGACTGCTGCTGTAGCATAAATCACTAATGTTGATTCAGGTTATTTTGCATTGCACATTTCAACAAACAGTAAATGTACACTGGTGATTATATCTGAGCGGTTTTGATGCTGATAATATAAAGCAGGAGAAAGTGGCGTAAGGCAGCAGCTTAGAAAGAATTTCTCTAAGACTGTATTTATTAATAAAGTACAATCTCAGAATATGTAGCCACCTGGAGAGTTAAATCTTATTTAATCATTGACGTACGTGCAGTCTGTTGAGAACAAACCCCACTGGGGTACCAGCTCTGACATTTTTATGGTCTAGGGTGTTTCTAAATTGCAATTGGTTTTATCGGTCTTTTCCTGTACATCATTATCTTCTCCTGTAGCCCAGGCAGACCTCAGACAAGCATCATTTCCGTGAGGTGGGTGTAACACAAACGTCCTCTCTTTGCTTGTGTGTCAGACTGGTGTGTGCATCAATCTTTGAAATGACAAGGAAAGAATGTAAATTACGCAATTACATCCAAACCAATGCAAAGAATACCTACAAAATGTAAACAGTTATGCAAAAGTTCTTTTTCCAGCCCCATAGCAGAGATTACATTTCAAAGGTAGCATTACAAAAAATGTGGATGGTTGTAGCTGTGTAGGAGGAGGGGAAAACATAAGTCTCTTGGTGTGCGGCCTGGCAACACTGTGTGATGGTTTTACAGTAATTACAGCTCTGTCCCACTATTCTAAAACTTGGGAGACAAAGCATTTAGCTGAGTGGCCTTACCATCTGGATCGTCTGCTGGTTGAATACTCATGTAAGGTTCGCCCTTGTCCAGTCTGGACTGCCTCTGGCGGCTCTCCTCTTCCAGAGCTGCCTCAGCGCGGCTTTTAGCATTGACATAGGCCAGGTACGCTGGCGAGTTGTGATAGGCCTTCATGCTTTCGTTATACTCAATCTACGGTGGAGAAGACGACAGGAATGACAAGGAAACAGAGACTGCAAGCACACTCCACATGTGGACCCTCATTTCTATCAACCACGACAGGATAAGGACAAAGGTTTACTCAGGACTGTGAGAGAGGAAGGAATGATGACTGGAGGGACCCACAGCTGTTGCAGACACATCTACTGGTCACCCATCAGAAAAACCCCAGGAACACCCGTTGTAAAACAACCAACCTTCTCTGCTTCGTAGTCATTCAAATAATCCTGTTTCTCCTCATCAGTGAGGTCCCTCCACATGCCACCGATTATCTTCCCAATTTCCCATAGCTTCAGATCAGGATTGGAGGCTTTTACTTGATCCCAAACCTGGTGATGAGAACCAGACATGGGTGTGGGGTTGGGTTGGATTGGAGGGGCTATAAGCGGTTATCTCTTTGCAGAGAGGTCACAAACCAGAGGAGGCCGTGTGCTTTAAGCTCCATCTTCAAGTGGATAAATCCCACTATGTGATGTGGACTGTTCTAGCTAAGTCCTGGACAAAGTCGGCTCGACACCTACCTCAATAAACAACAATCAGTGTCTGTAAAAAAAATGTACATCTTACTCTGAGCTGATATAATATCTTAAAAACATCCCTGTCTTCCAGCAGAGCACACGTTGATGCAAAATGCAGCAGTTACACACTGGGTACTTACCTTACGACTATATCTCATATATGGCATCAATGGCTTATCAGGTGGCTTTGGTGGTTTTGGGATATTTATTCCAGAAGAATTCTGGTAAAGAAAGAAAAAGGCATGTCGGTGTTGAGTGACCTTTTATACACTCTTAGCTGAGTAGAGCTTGTGAAAGTAAAGCATAGTGCATAATAATGTAATTTGACATTTATCTATCAATTTTTGTTTACTTTATTCAAATATATCAGAAATTGATTTTGTATCACTTCAGTTATATTGATTTAATTCACGACAGTTTGAGGCCACATTCATGTCAGAACCCCACCGACTACAATGGAGTGGTGCTGGCAGCTAAAAAAAAACCTCACCTAAGCTAAGATTTGCCCACCGTGAGACATAATGCCATTATCAGAGTCAGCCAACCACAGATTGCATGCAGCGACTAAATTACTGCTCAGCGGCCTGAGCCATGCTGAGCAGCGAGTCTGTAATGCCATGGCAACGCTGATGGCATGGGTTACTTAACATGGCTGTCAGAAATGCAGACTTTGAAAGCCAGGTGGTATTTGAATACACCCAGAAGGACTCTTAGCCGGTCTGCATCGTGATGGAGACAGCAGAAGGAGTTTGGAATGACACGCATTTTATATTCAGTCTCAGTAAGAGCACGAGTAAGCCTCCAATACTGACTATTATCCAATATCTGCTCTTTGAAGAGTGGAAATGCAAAAATATAACTGTTTGCTCTGAACTAAGCAAAGGTCAATGGTCTTATGAAATGCTTCAGTGCTATTGCAGGGGCTTCTGCATTGTCTTCCTTTGACTAAGCAAACTGACCGTTCAGTGTCGTGTTAAACTTAATTATAGATCAACTAGTTTTCTCTATGTTATATTCTTACCGTTACCCGACTGTTGCTGCTTTGACTCCCTCCCAGTCTGTAGTTGTTGTAGGCCAGATGGCTGTATGGGTTGTACCCCACAAACCCGGCAGTGTTGGGCATTTGCTGATGGAAACAAAATGGGAAAGAAACACCCATGAGAAATGACATAAAAGAAGGGGGGGGGGGCATGAAATGAAAGAAAACCAATGAAAGAAGCTGAGAAAACAGCAATCACAGTAATCTTTTCAGAGGCAGTGGTGTATCAGCTCATCAGTCTGGCTTTTGGAGTCAAAATAAAATGGAAATGATTTGACAAAGCATAAACTGTAGTGAAAAGGACGCCTCCACACACCAACATCAGTTTAATTTGTGATACCCAGGTGATAGTGGGTGATCGGTGCTGATTACACTGAATACTCACAGTTGAAGGGGCAGGGGGAGGGGGAGGGGCATACGATGGTCTCTCTGTTGTGAAAGAAAAGGTCCAAATGACACTGATCAGCTCCAAGACACAGAAAACTTCTTCCAGTCCACAATAAAAAAAAACTTTCTACATGACATCACAGATCAGCTGAGACCTGAATCACTGCAGTTCACTGTTGATGATTGCACAACACTAATGGAGCTGCTGTGTAGTGGTCACGTAGTTTCACATGGATGTATAGAAACAGTAAGTCTGGTGGATTTGAAGATACATTTTAGTGTCATCACAGACAAAGAGGTAGAGAAAGCACCCCCAGTTCCTTACTTGACATCTTAGCAGGGATCAGTGGAAACTCAGTCTGCTCCAGTCATTGGCTCTGTAATAAACACATTGTACAGCAGGATCAGTGTGTGCATCGTGTGGCGTGTGATGGATTGTGTCGACAGTGCTTCACACGTAGCACGAAACGAAGACACGCTACTGACTGTCACATAGCATCGCTTGCTAACACCGTTAGCTTTGACTTGACGTGCTTTTGAACACTGTTTGGGGAAAAAAGCTGGATGCCACTTCAGAAAACATGTTCGCGAGGGCGCTGATGTCAACAGCAGCGTCGATTTGAATACGTCTGAGTGTTTAACCCTCCGTGACTTCAGGACTATTTATAATATAGTCACCGATGATCGGTTAACGTTACTGTCTCCGGGTTTTCACCTCATCGAGCGCAGCATCTCTACCACAGCCACAAGCTAGTGAGCGAGCGAGCTAACGTTAGCACATATTCGCGTTAGCTTGGAGCTGCAGTCTTTTGTCGTTTCCTAGGTTAGCTAGCCTGCAGCTGTATCCAGCAAGAGCTGCAGTTAACGCGACTGAGGTGACTTCTGCGTGTGTTTCAACTCTAAAGCTCCGACTGCAGACACAGCACGTGTGTTGTTAGCTCTGCTCAGTTAAGTTGGACTAAATAACCAGCGGACTGACGGCGAGCTAGCTGCCTACGTAGCGTAGCCATCCCCGTGAAAAGAAAATGACATCTGTGAGACAGTAGCATGCAACGTCAAAAAAGACATACAGATCCCCATGGGTTTTAATGGTGATAAGCAGGCATGTGTGCTGAAGCGATGGCCAAGAGAACTCACCCTAAAACCTTTAGTCTCCACCACAGTGTGCACGTTGTGGCTTTGACAGGAGGGCTAACCACCTAGCTCAGAGAAGCGATCCCCTCAATAAACCAGTGAAACGGGGTCCACTCGTGAGATTCCCGCAGAATCTTCCAGAATCGCACCCCCACCCTCTCCTCATCTCAGCTGTGCCTCGCGCCGACGCTGACGCCGATCGCCCTCAACTGTCACTGCCGCATCTTCCATGAATGGATGTGACAGCAGAAAACACCTTCCTTCCTCAAGGATCGAGGAAAAACAGAAAGGTATCATCCCAACGCAGAGCTGCACAACGGGATTATACACCTCACGTCTGCAGCTTTATCTTTAAACTGCAGACGTGCACCATCGTAATACCTGTCAAACACACAATGAACACTGCTTATTCCTGAGTTATATAGATGGAGAAAGCTGACCTACGTTGTAAATACATTACTTCATGTCAAAATGTGTCGTGTCAGTGCACATGCTGTACAGCTAACACCCATTCTTCTCTACAAGGTAATAATCTCATAATAAAAAAGTTGGGATGATTTCTTATGTCACCATACCGTAAGTTGCAGTGTGGACACTTCACAGGCTACTAAGCTTTTGAGAACAGTCAACGTTGCCCTATTCACTGGTCCCTTGTTGTTAGAACTGAAATACTTTGCATTCTTGTTCACATTGTTTGAGAGCCGCCCGGGTCAATAGTTGTAATAGTGTGTTCACTAAAGCTAACAGTTCTAAGCCTGGAGGATTTAGCCTACATCTCTGTCCATTCAACCTGAATAGTACTTGTTTTGGATTTGTTAATTGATTGTGTTCATTGTGACCCTGTTTCTTTCTGTTTACATTGCACACTTGAGAGCTTATTTCATTTACGCTTGACCAGCATCCTTTATAATATTCACACAGTCACTGTTGTGAGCTCATCTCCAGGTGTGGGGCTTCAACTTCTTTTCTTTCAGCATGTGATGACCAGAGAGCCGTGTGGACTGGACAGAGAGCAGATTCCTCGCAAAGCACGGGCAGGACTGCTTAGCGCTGGACACCTGTGATGGAGGACATCTGGAGGTAGGATGGAGGTCACATGCCTCCTGTCAGCTACTGTGCAGGCTTAACACGGACACTCACACAGGGCCTCCCTGCCACAGCTTGGGGATTGTGGATGCCCAGGGGCAGAACTGGGCTTGTGACATTATGAATCAATCAGAGGAAAACCCGTAAAGCTGTTCTTGTAATGCAGATTCAGACCCAGTACTTAAGCCATACAGAGCTCTCCAAAATGGACTCAGGCAGTGGAACTAAGCAGACTTGAAAGTTTACTCTGGTAGAGGACAGTGGAGGTATTTTTAGAAGCCCCTGCAGCCAGATTATTATGATGTATCATTCCAGGGGTGTTCCTTGGACAAATGCCTCAAGTATTATCATTAACCTGTCCGACCATTGGCTCACCTGTCACAAAGACGTAACGGTCTAAAACTGAAAAAAAGATTTTGATAAAACTTACAGAGTACAAAAGTCCCCTTGATAAAAGCAACAGGTAGACTGATGAACTCAAAGTATTTAAAAACATTCAGATCATTGTAATTGAGATGTGGAGAGTATCCTGGAACACAAAATACACACTTACCCCGAACAGTAAGTTTTAGACCTATTAATAGCAAATCAACTTGCTCAAACAAATCCTCACCTTGGTAGTGCTATGCATGACTTACAAGGATAGTAATTCCCTTGTATCTAAACTTTACTTTCTATTTTCTCAATCGCTGTATACTTCTTAAATTATATCATATTTATGATGGATTATGGATATTTATTATGGATTTTAATAGTTGACATTTAAAATAGTTTGTCAGCGGCACTTGGCTAATTTTCCTGCAATGTTGTACCGCTTTGTGTCAAACAAGCTTCATTTCATAGTAACATCCACCTTTTCAAAACATAGTTTTGGCATTTCCACAGCGTCTTGTAATACATTGGCCAACTTACTGCGCATGCTGGCACTAACATGTCTGCATCAAACTAAAAGCTGTACTACAATTACAGCTACAAATAATAACAGCAACAAAGTTGACATTTCTTAAGTGTTTTAATTGATGTATTACAATGTATACATTTTCATCAGGTAAACATTTACAATGTAACTGATTTTTTCATTGGTTGATGATCTATATTTCAGTTCATTGATCACTTCAGTGTTTGAATATACTGTAACAGTCCTGCTCTGGACAAGATACACAAGAGCTCAGCTGTTCCCAACCCCAGTCCATTTGGATGCATGCAAACATTACACATGAACAGATAATATCAAAGTGGAACATTCTACTCTCAAGAAATGCAATTACAGGTCAGTACAGCAAAGTTAAAGATCAAGCAATAGCTATAGCTTAAACACACAGTTTATGTAGTTAGAAGGCCTTTTAAAAATCAAAGCCACCTCTCAAAGATTAAGACGATTTAACAGAGGAGCGTGTTTGAATGTGTTTAGTAACACCTCATTAGCTGATGAATGATAAGATTGGATAGGAATGCTGTGTGCATGCAGTTCATGAATGAATGAATATTGAGGTCTCAGGAGCTATTTGGTTTTTGATACTTTTAAACCGGAGCAATGATTCTCCACTCAGACCATCATTTTCTCTATCTGTCTGTGTTTTGGTGAACAACCATTGGCTACATCTCTTCTTTAATGATAGGTCAAACTGGTCATCAGGTGATCATACTGTGTCTCCAGCAAAGGTGATAAACTCACCATGGCTTCAATGATTAGATTACATTTCTAGCATATGCAGTTTGATTAGAAATAGAGGACCAAACGTGAGTTCTGACTGATATTAGGTTACCTTGGATAATTGTTGTATGTGATTAAACATTACAGGCTGTGAATCTATAGAAAGTTATTTGTTATTCTCTTTCATTTTATGTTACATTTCTGAGCAAATTCATGGAACAAAAGGTGCACTTGAAATGTTATGTGTACAAATAGTAGACGGGTTGTTTTAATTCTTTAGAATTTCCCCCTCACACCCTCAAGTACCTTCAGGATACACTGAGAAACATCAGAGAAACCCTCAGACTGGTGACAACAGGCAACATTTGTCAAATTTATTTTCAGGATGGGCTGATCCATATCAGCTGGGTTGAGATTACTTGGTGAGAGCCAACCTAAAGGTTTTAGGTTTTTAGCCTTTCTTTTCTCTGACTATATGGATATACTAGTGCATTTTGGAATGATTAGAGCAGATTCAATATGGAAAAACGTGAGAAATAATAACGAGAACTAACAACAACAACAATAACAATAATACTAATAATCATTTCCGTGGTACTTTTCTTATTTATATGAGGAGCTGAATAACCTCTGTCAGGGTCCTGTGCTCAAACAGTCATATTTAAAGCTTAACTGATATTGAGGTAAAATCAGAGTGTGGTAGTTTATTTCGTTTCAAAATATTATTATACTACAATCTCCACACTAAGGATTAGTTAGGTTGGCATTAATGCTGTGTGGGGATGACTTGACTCGCTTTGTCCCTCTTCTCCAGTTAATTCAGGCCCAGATCATTTCAGAAGTGACCACCCAGAGGAATCTTTTCTTGAGTCAATAATAAGTGTCCTATAGAACAGTGGGAGCAGGCTGTCCATATCTGGTGATGACAAACACCAGCATTAGCTTAAACCTGCTACTCTCATGCACTGCACTCCACCAGTACAAAAGAATTGCTATAAGAGTATTACCAGTTCGTCCTATGGTGTATAAAACATTTGAGGAATTGCTTAGTGACTCCTTTAATTATTAGTGTGATTGTCTATAGAAGATATGATGATGCTTAACTACCATTGACAGATTAACAGAGCACGGTTCTTATGATCATTACTATCTTTACTGCTACACCAGAGTCCTCCATTCAAGGCTTCATGTTCGCTACATGTTGCAATGCTGCCCCAAAATCATTACAAGTTATTACATTCTGCTTGTTTTTTTAAAAGACATCATACCTGTTATTTGCTGCAGTGGCCAATGAAACATTCAGTCAGTTAGCTGGGATGATAGTGCAAAGCTAATGTGGGATGTTACGTTCATATTTTGACAATAACATGAAATCACACACGGAAGGCCTTTGTCAATGACTTATGCAGATGGTCACACATTGAGGTGCTCCTCACACTTGGTGATGCTAATTGCACCACTTCCTGAAAATGTCTGTCTTCTGTTCTAATCCTAAACAATGCCCAAAAAAGTGCAGAAGCCATTTATTTTTGGTCGTTTTGGCACAATCAGTGTATAGCACCACCAAAGATCTGCCAAGCAGTCTGTTTGGAGAGAAGTCCTGTATGCTGCAAACATGAGTGTCACACTGGCATCTTAGCACCAGCTGGAAAAATCTGATTATCCTATCAGCAGTGTACAGAGTTTCTAGCCCAGCTACACTGCCAGTCCTCCTACTGGAGAGAGCTCGTCTGCAACTAAAGGGGAACATAGAGTTAACCACAGGGTGATGAAGAAAATCTATTCCAGGCTTTTTACAGATACAGTTTTTCAATTGAGTGTGTTTTCACTTTGGTCTCCATGTTGTGAAAAGCTATGGTTTATCCTATGATAATTCAAGGCAGGCGATTTATGCATTCCTTTGTTACCCCTTTTTCTTTTTTGATTAAATATGTTGTTCTCGTCCTATCTATTATTGCTACTCTTGTGTCGTCGCTAAACTAGACTTTGTGCTTGCAAACATGTTTTATGGTTTATTTTGACCAGTTTTCCAGATGGGGTGGGGTTTACAACGTATAGGACAATAAAGTAAGAGCCACACATTACAACAATTTACACATATTGTGTGAATAAACTAGTACACAGTTCTTTAATTGAGAATCTTTCTGGATTGTGCTGATGCAGTAATTAGTACTGATCTAGATGCTCCAGAAAGAATAAAACAAATATGAACAGCTCCCGTTGTGACTCAGGTCTGACTCTCTGCTCGGGTTGATGCATTTTCTTGTCACTATTCAAGAATACGACACTGAAGTTAGACTAGAGAAAACAACACCTTTTTCTTCTCTAAATATCACGACTACATCTCTTATCTGTGGAAGGGCTTATTTTCTGCCACCAGTCTAAAGACTATGGGCCTTAGGTTCACACAGTAGAAACAATAAACAAGTGCTTAAAACACTGATAAAAAAAAACTGTCACACACAGAAACAAAATAGCAAAAGAACTCAATTCAATGGTTTCCTTTTTGTTGCGCAAGGTCAAGTATCATTGGCCTTCGTTGAAGTGAGGCTTTAGGGCGAAGTCCTTTCCTCATGTAGGTCTACTAATAAGCACCAGTAGAATTCAGCTGGTCCTGCACCCCCACTACCACACCACACTCCTCAATCCCTCAGGGTGGCAGTCATTAACTGGTGACAGTCCAGATCCCCTCGCTGCTCCAACGGCCCCGGCAGCCTCATGCCCGTCTTCTGATCCACACACCAGCACTTTCCCCGCTGGCCATCACGTGCAGGGTGACACTGTGGGCACAAAGATCAATAGAATATACTACTTGTAGAAAACCTTCATAAAGGTCCAGTGTGTGAGATTTAGGTGAAAGGGATCTATTGGCAGAAATTTAATGTAGAATAATCCTCATGATGTTTTCACTAGTTTCACATCTAAATTGTATGAATTGTAGTTTTCTTTACCCCAGAAAAGACCTTTTATATTTAAATACTTTATATTTACATCGAGGGGACCCTCTCTACGGAGGCTGCCATGTTTTTTACATTAATCCAGACTGGACAAACTAAACACCTTTTGAGTTTTTATAACAATTAAAGGCTGCCACATGTTCTTTTTCATGTTTGGAAGGAGAGGGTGAGGTGAGGGGTGTTCAGCTGCAACGTGCAATTTCAACACTAGATATCACTAAATTCTACTTTAAAGGTGAGTGTTGGTAATCACACAGGCTACACTACAACTGATACATTCGACCCCCTCCCATCTGCTCTTTTACGTCAAAGTTATGCCCCCAAAATGAAAGTTCACTGCCTAAAAACTGCTAGAAGCCAACTTCTTGGTGACTTGCTCTCCAACCTCCGACTATATGTCACCCCAGCTTGTATAAGCTCTGGTCATGTACAGTGAGAGCACGGGCAGCGTGCGTGCAGGCGCTCAGGTCAGTTAGTGACAGACAGGTACACCAGCAAATCATTTCACTCAGTCTGAATGAAATGGTCCTGCCCATTACAGTCCTGCCTACAGACAGCAGCTTTTTTGACCTACAAATGACCAACCTTAGCTTTAACTGCAGGTGCTGATATTTACTAGACATTTTAACGGACAAATGACTGCATGTAATATGGAGGGGTGACTGTTCCACATAACACCAAACTCTGCACTTCCCCTCAGCCCCTTTACTCTTGCAGTTCACTTTTAATATCCTCATCTGTATGTTTTCATCAACAAAGAGTAAAGAGCTCCAGAAATCCACTCTGCACTACCCTTACAACATTAACGACAAGCTAGTGAACACAGTGGAGCTTTTAGGAGATAGTAAAGATTGAAAGAACGATTGAAACCAAAACAGAGCTGAAACGGAGGGTTGCTCGGTGTTTGCTGGATGTGTAAGCAAATAAAAGTAATATAATATTTTATAACATTTGACACAGCGATGTTAGTGGGTGTTTCATCTACAGCATGTGGAGCTTCTCACAAGAATCAATTTATGCAGGTTTATATAACGCTAGGTTAGAGGTTAGAGAGCAGTTTAATTATCTTTAAAGAGGAGTCAGTGCTCTGTTGGCAGGGCCATATAAATGACATCAGACCTGGCTTGTAAAGCTCTCAGGCATTTTTATTGTTTTACAGCTCTTGGGGTTGTCCTGCATAAATGGTTAAATGACTGGAGCTTGTCAGGTATAGCAATTTTATCAGCACACCACATCAAGAGAATGTTAATGATAAACAGAGCTTTAAGTGAAGGTAAATCATACCCAACTGGAATTTAAAGATGCTAAACAAACAGGTATGTCAAGTAATTTCATTATTTGTTGTGTAAATCCTCTCAGATTCCTTCTATGAGCTTTTTGCAGTTATTGTTATTTGCAAAAGTTATCACAAGATTTACTGTGTGTGTTTTTTTAGGTTTTAAAAAGCTTCCAGTTAACAATCTCTGAGCAACTCTGCCATGAAATGATTCCTAGTTTCCTTCATGACCTGCTCTTTACTTCCCAATATTTTTTTTATCTGAGTGCAGCTTTAGTTAAACAGTAAACAGATGCCTGTGAATCTGTGCAGGCCGAGATACTTTAACCATGTTACACAACCAACACAACTCAGACTGTTGATGACTGCTGCCTTAGCAGAGATTTCCTTTTATCACTAGCTGAGCGACTGCTGCTTTGATTGCATATTCAGCTCAGAGCAGTCTTATCTGTGTTTTTATGTTCTCTCTTTCTCTCACTCTTATCTGCATAGTTGCCCAATCACACAAAGGCAGAATAACAAAGAAAGTAACCACATTAAAAAGCTAATCGTATCCATCACAGAAGTAAAGTGATTATTGTTCAACAGTTTAGGGGAAACCACTTTCCACGCATAGCTCAACTCTGGATTCCTCAAAGTAAATCCCTTTTCATTTGAGCTTAGAAAAATAAGACCTTGGCATTAACAGGCGACTTGGAGACACTTTGGTGTTGATCTTGAACTTGGAGGACAATATTTCATCGGCTGCAGGGCTGTTTTGTGATTTGGCCCACACATTGCTGATGTAGTTTGAAAGGAATTGTTTGAAGTAGAGAGATAGGCATTTTTATTTGTATCGGGTTTTTAGTGGAAATTCACAGACTCAGAGTGGGTGCTTGAAAGGACAGACCTGTTTAGGGTGGAAGTCTCCGTTCTTGTCACAGTTGGGTATAGGGATTGTGAAGAGATCGTCATGTGTGCGGGTATTTGATGCCAGTCTGTCCAGGGCTCTTTGTAGCTCAGCACGACATGGAGCCTGTAGGAGAAATCACTTGCAAGATGTGCATAGACATGTACAGTGGCCTAAGAAAACCGCAGTCTATGAAATGATGTCGAATGATTGGCTAGTTTTCCTAAATGGACAAGAAAATCATGAGTACGTTTAGGTAAAGTTAAAAATCAGACACCACGACTTAAAAGATAACTTCGGTCAGTCACTGCTAATGATAAACAATTCAAGACATGTCTAAAAAAAGTGTCCAAGTGTTTTGGATTTAGTGTCTGCTCTTGTCTGCTAGGGTTAAGGCAAGTTACTATAATCTACCTGCTGAGTATTGCCTCCAGTGCTCATTATTTGGGAACTCGTTAAACTTGTTGCACAGAGGAGGTTTTTTTTCAATATTATTTACTGTCTTGGAAATAATCCAAACTTTAATTTTTCCATCATGGTTTATTTTTGGAAATCTAAAGTCAAAGATCTGTTGTGGCGTGATCCTGAAACTCAGGTAAACACAGGTTTTAACTTGACCCTGTTTGTGTTTTCAAAAGCACAGAGTTTGCATTTTTACAAGGAAGCAATTGATCGAATGTGAATGAATCTTTGTGGCAGGTTTTTTGTTAAGTAAAGCACATTAATATCCAAAAAACTGTCCAAATAAATGTAAATATGTGAGAGAGTGAGTGGCATCGCAGTGCATGTCTTCAAAATGTGATAAAACAAGCCTGGTACTGACTCATGGGAATGTTATGATCATGGTCTTTCCAAACCTAAAACAGCAAATTACATGATGATGTCAATGTCCACCTGTACATTATTTTCAAGACCGCAATTAAATATTATAGTGTGTAAATAACTAATTTATACAATTTATAACCCGACTGTTCCGCTTGTGGCTTTGGAACTATTAAGGGCCTAATGTAAAACACCTGCGGGGGCTGAGGCACGTACTGCACAAGGAAATGGCTTGGTTTGTTGTTTTCTGGTGAAACTGATAAGATGGAAGATTGTTTCTCTCACCAGCACCGCCTTGGTCTCCTCCCTGGCAGTGTTGCTCCTCTGGTTCGTGGATTTCGGAGGATGCCGGGCCAGGGTCTTCTGTATGCAGCGCTTGTCTTGTGGACTGCACCGGATATTGCTGTTGTTCGGGTGCTCAGGGATGATCTCATCCTGCCTGTCCATCGCTGTAGGGCAAGGAATAATGCTTAGGTTTCACAAATTCAACAAAGGTGAACAATACACAGTCAGAATTATTACGTCAGAAACGTTTTTGGAATTTTCTTGCATGGGTGTCAGTGCAACTCAATTCTATGATGTTAGCTTAATTTACCGAACCCATTATCTGCATTATTTGGCTGAGTGACAGATACAGAGCAGGAGCTGCTCATCCTTCTATACATCCCATTCTGCTGAACATGGTAAAATGTAGGCTACAAACGAGGCCAGGTTAACCTCAAGGACACTGAGCTGTATTCCTGCTCTGGGGGGGGGTTAATCTGTACCTCAGCTCCCGCCCTGGCTCTCTTCAACTCCTGCACAACAGCCTCACCATGAGCACTGAGGCTTTTTTTAAAAACATTACCCCCCCCGATCTGCCACCCTCTGTACATTGTGGTCTGTGCCACATTCACCTTTGCATCCCTATAATCCTGCAGTTCTGTGGCCCTGAAGGCAGCCAGCTGCTTCCTCAGGAAATGCCCCCTCCCTCCTCACACCCCACCCTTCCACAACAACCTTAGATTGTGCCAGATGGAGGTTGTTAGAGGGTATTTGCACTGTCACAAGTGGGCAGCACAACTGTGTGTGTATGTGTTTGTATGTGTGTATACAGGTGGTTAGTTTGAGGCACAGGATGAGCAAAATGATGGATATGGACTGTGTGTGTGTTTCTTATGCACATACATGATGTTGCCTTTCACCTGTGTTTTTAAGAGATGGCGTGTTATAGATCAGCACTGGAGTGAAAGAACTTGAAGTGGTTTTATCATTTTGAATCTGCTCTCAGTCTGATTACTGAACCACTGCCAGGGACCCAGTTAAAGTCTATTGGCAAGAGACAATGGTGGTGGGGCCGGAGCCTCTATAATCTTATGCTATGTAAAACCTTTTCTCAGGTCCACAATGCATGATGGCATGCTTTCACATATGTAAATCAGGACAAGCTTTTGTTAGCACTGTAGCTGTCTGGCTTCTGCTATCCCTGCTGTATTCAGGTATTGATTCTGGGCCATTTTCTGCAAAAATGATTTGAATTTTTTTTACCGCTCATTGATTGGAGTTGAAAGGTGACAAGGTTTCTCTAAACTTCACAGACAGTCCTCTTGCTTGGCTTGGCTTGTCTGGAAGGGAAGTGTCTTTTGCCTGTTTGTATTTTTAGTCTTGTTGCTGTTGCTCATCAGCACTTTCTTCCACAAGAGCCAACAGGGTTTCAGCTGTTTCCCTCGTTCCAAGTTGTTCTTTCTTGTCTTTTGCCAGTTCACAATTTTCCTATTCCACGCTCTTTCGCAGAGTGAGCCAAAGTGACTCCGAAATGGGTCAGGGGTGGCATGTCCTGTTTGCTACCACTGCTGGTTTCCATGGAGGAAGTTGCCACTTCTCTGTGTGGTTTCATTTGATTTGGACCAGCAGCCTTCCTAAAGTGTAATATCAGCCATAGAGCTACCCCAGTACACTGCCTGTCACAGGTGCACAGCAAGGATACATAAAGGTCTGCAGTAAATGTACCTTCATCATCCACCTACTAAATCCGCAATCATCTGTCTGTCTTTCTGTCGATCTGCATGTGGAACGCACATCTCACAAACTGTGTATCTAATCAACTTAACGCTAGGGATGTGTATTGCTTAAGGCCCAGGAAAGTGCAGCGTCAAATTTGGTGCGATTTGGAAACATGATTTGTTCAGCATAAATTAAACTTGAATTAAAAGGTGACTGTGTAGTTGTCAGTGTGGGCATGGCAGTGGGCCTTCAGTCTGTGGACAGTGTTGATCCTGTCTTTCTCTTATAAACTTCAGCAGTGGTCGGCAAGTGGGTCAAACCGCGGTCAAAATCACCACCAGATCACTTTGATAATGTGCTATTTTCTCCTTATCGGATGAACACAAACATTTAAGGGTGTAGTGGGTGCTGAAATCTGTCATGGCAACAACATTCATAGAATCACTTCCTCACAAGGTTTTGTTACTGCAATGCTTTATATCGAGCTGAATTACAGAGATTTTATTTTAAAATCTACTGTCTGGAGATTGCATTGATTGCTTAACAAAATTCGGAAACAGCCATCATGCAATGAATCAAAAAATAAAAGCAAGTTAATTAAATCATTCAAACTTTTATATAAACCTCACATGCAAACTGTAATGAAGCAAATTCAGTCTGCATTGCAGATAAACCAGGTAGGATGAATGCAAAGTTCTAACTTCAAAACGCACCATAGACTTTTTATAAAAAAGCTCTGCACACAAGGTCTGGCCCACAAACTATAAGTGACAATATATTTTAGAACTGTTTGATGAGGACTCACTTATGACAAGAAATTATTCTGAAGTAGCTCCGCAGCATTAACACAGGCCAAGAGAGCAGGCAGGTTTACAGCAGGCACTGCACTAGAACTCAGAATCAGGAACAACCTTCACCTCACATCTTTGGTGTTTAAACAAAGTCAAAAAGACCCATTAAAACAAAAACAGAGTATTTATCTACCTCTCAATGAGTAGCTTGAATTCATGATCAGATTAATTTGTGAAACCATTGATATAAATACCGTAGTAGGAAAACAATTTAACCACTGACTGTCTTATGAAAAAAAGCCAAACCTGTTGCACAAAAAACTGCCTGACCTAATCAATCCAGCTCCTACTTAAATATTTGTTGTCACATGTCGGTTCCAGCAAATGTATCCGTCACTTGTGGCGACTTGCCGTGTGAGCATCAATAATTTCTGTGAATCCTGATCATTGATTAGCGGGCCCCATCTGTTTTGATGAACATATTTTCTGTCACAGGAAAAAACAACTTTACACAAGTTTGTTGTGGTTACATCATTCCATCTACATTTTCAACACATTCAGTATGTTTACCTTCTCTGTGTAGTCTATAAAACAGTGACATAAGGGGTCATGAGATTTCAGATTCAACTGTTGTGTGTAAACCTTGTGTGTAAAATCCCCCTCAAATAAATATTTAGTTATGCTCAGAAAGACTGGCAGAGTGCTTTGCAATGGTTTATACTTCTACTAGTTTAGATCTTGATCGAAGCCAGAAGAGAGTCCAGTATGAGAAACATTTGTACAAAAACCTGAGATGCACCCTTTTAATGTTATTGCTGTTTGACTTCTCAAGTGAGGGGTCGTCACAACAGATCCCCATCTGCATATTTGATTTGGCATAAGTTCGAGGAAACCGGTGATCAAACCCTGAGAACAGCAGCCAAGCTGCTCTACCGCCCAAGCCACGGCCTCCCCAATGCACCCTTTTAAATGAAATGACTGCATTTGTGATCTTTCTGATACAAATACACTTAGAGAGCAAGGTAAACATATTGCCCTACTTGAGTTTAAGTCTACGTGAAGAGGAGCTTACCAAATGAGAAACTTCCTGACTGGGTCAGCCGATATAAGCTAATCTCACATATACATATCTTTATGGGCGTATGTTACTGCGGATAAGTGACAAACAATTGGTAAGGCTGCCCCTGATAAGATTCAAAGCATCAGTTATACATTTTATCAACACTGACAGAAGAAATGGCAGAAGCAGAACAGAAATGGCATAATCTACATAAGAGCACCGACTGTAACTTTTCTCACTCTGTTGGCAAGAGACACACACAAACTTTGGTCATGATAATAAAAACAATAATGGGGTCCATGAACAATGGCAACTTAAAATAAGTGAAAATCTGAAAAGAGTTTCCTGCAGTGACGTAGGAATTAACTTTGGGGAATATCAGTTCTACATGACATCCCTGTTGGGTGTGGTTACAGGTACCAGTGGATAGATGTGTATGATGTATGTATGTGTGAATGTTTAATGTAATACATCATCAGGGAGTGTGAGTCGTGTCTGTTGGACACTGTGATTCTCTCAGCTCCGCTGTCCAGTGAGCTGCTGGGAACCTCACTCCTGTCACAAGAACACACACAGCTAAAGTGGAAACTGTTGTGCCGAGCTGACAACACTGTCAGAAGCCCGCCATGCTCTGCGGTAGTATTTCAAAAGCAAGCTATAACCGAGACGCCGACCGGTCTCTATGAAAAAAAAGGAACCAAGAGTGAAATATTGAAATTTGCAGGATGTTCCATCCTTATACAAGGTTTTTAGTCTTGTTTTCAAGAGATTCTGGCAGCTCAAAAGTAAACTTGGCTTACTACCAAACGTTTCACTCAACGCTAGATGCTTGGAGAGAGTATCAGACTTCTGATTTCCAGGAGAAAGATTTCTTTGAAGCAGTTAATCATCGCTGCAGTTTTAAGAACACTGTTCAAGACTAGCAGCGTGTGTTGTAAGAAGGCCAACTCTTTTTTATTTGTCAAAGAAACATATATCAACGATGAATCACAAGGACAAGACACCTGCTGTTGCACTGCCTGATACTACTCAAGCCACCTCCCTTTATGATAATAGAAAATAAACTGATAATAATAATAAACATTATACAACAGACGTCGTAAAATACGACATGTTTGTGAGTCTGAATCCAAAGAAGACACAGCAGCAGCTGTTTCACCCTTGAAGGAGCAGAAAATAATTATGAACTATAAACCCGAGGATTATTAAAATCATACTTGCTTCTTTTTCATGTCTCAGCTGTTACTGTTTCTGTTTGTAAGTATCTGCTGCTCTAACAATCCTCGTCACTCTGCTGCCGAAGCAGCTCTTGATTTTCATATTTTCGGTGAAGAAAACCGGTCTGCTTTGAAAAATTGAAAAATTGTGTAATAATTTAGCTTAAGGCTTGAAACTCTTTTCAGCCAAATATAACATACATGCAGGTGTAGATCACAGGAAAAATATGAGTAGAGGATAGAGCAGGAAGTCTTTTAGATGGATCATCATCATCCTTAAAATCTCCTTAATCCTTAAATCGTGTGGTTCAGAACATTGACCTGTGGTGACATTATGACATGATTAGTGCAATAAGGTTTTCCCCTCCTCTGAGATTCATAGTTTCTTCTGTTGCGAAGAAACAATAAAAATGTTCATCTTGAAAAAGCAAGTTCTGAGATGTCTGAATTTATGTATTTTATCCAACAATATCAACTGAACTGAGGTGGTACGTTCATTTGTAACCTCAGGGTCAATTCATTTACTTGATTTCAGATTTTATGAACTTTTATGTCGAAGTAAGCTGAGGTTCATTTATTGATGCACTGTTCATGCATGTGATCTATGAATAGAGGGAAACGTGCAACTGCAGTGAATTAGGTCAAACTATTTTGAGTCACATTATTAACTTAATTTTGAATGGACTGTTTCAATTATATGAGCAGGATCTTGAGTGGAAGGGCAAGTAGTGGAAATTAATAGATAATTTTAAATGCCTGGAATATTAGTTAGAACCAATAAAGTATTTGATCATATATAAAGGCAAAATAATTATTAATAATCAAAGCTTAGAAAATGCCATTCTCAATATAATCACCAGCAAGAGGTTGAGGTGCAGATTGCTGCAGGGTTTCGATCAGTGAAATATTGGCCTGAAGTATGAAACATCAGTCCCTGATGATTCGCCGTCCTGCTCAGATTAAGTGTGTTTCACGGTCAGGACAATGTAGGATTGTTTGTGGATCTCTCTGCTCTAACACCAGGAGGGGGTCACTCTCTCACAGGGGACAGCAATTAGTTAATCACGTTTACTCCTGCATAAGAGCCCCAGCTGCACAAATGTGCTGCACAGCCCAAAGAAAGCAAATACACAAAAACATTAGAGGACATCTGCTCAAAGAGATTTGAAAATATGATTCACCCCAAAACTACATGCACATCTTTAACCAGTTCACAACTCCCCAAATGTGCTATGGAGTGCTCGCTAATAGGAGCACGGAAAATCTAGGTTAGCATGCTGCTTTCATAAAGACCTGTGTGCGGCACAGTAAATTGAGCATAGTTAGACAGAGTCTGGCTCCACTGACAGTTTCATTCACGCAACTCCTAACTCTGTGCCTGTAGGTGTAAGACTTCATATCTGACATCTGTATCGGTTTGTGAATAATATCCGTTTCACTTTCAGAGGGAAGCATTTGAATATAATTTCGAGGCAGACTCAGCTGGAATGTTGGAGCAGACGCCAACATACGCATGTTGATTAATTCTAAGTATTCGAGAGGGTTTCTAAGAATGGGATATGAAGAAGCATTAAAATTGTTTGAGACCTTGACATAAGATGGTGGATAGTGCTTGTTGTTACTGTGGAGATTCAGTATGAATATTATTAACATATTTTTGAGAGCAATGCTTATGTTTTAAACCCAAAAGAAAATAGTAGTTAGTGACTAGTGACAATCATGAGGCAGCACAGATATTTGACACACAAGGATGTAACTATTAGTCTGCTTCTACCTCATGGTCCTTTTCATTTTGAATTCTCTTGGTTTTTAAAAACCCTCTTCTATTTTTATCTAGCATGTTCACTGTTGCTAGGAGTGGGGCAGTGTCAGACATGTATTCAGGAGATGCACCCCCTTCTTTAATAATGCATTAGTACAGTGAATGCGCCACAAAGGAAATCTGCTTGTGACTGGAGTTGCTCCTCGCCTCTCCCCAATGCCTTTCTAATTGTCTCTGTGCTACCATAGTTTACATTGAACATTCTTATACAGCGGATCTGAGCTGCTGCCCAGAAGAATTGATTTACAGTGAGATTTGTTGGGCAGAGTTTCCCCGCTTTGTTATGACAGACTCCAGGGGTAAGGAGGAGTGTGGAGACAGAACTCTGCACTCAGATTACAGAACACCAAAAACAAAACTTCTGAACTTCCCGAAATGTTCCATCTACTGCCGCTCCACCCGGGAGAAAGGACTCCCCCCAGTGTACTATAACCCAGTTCCTGTCCAGCTGATCAGAAAGTGCAGCATCAGAGAACATAAATAATGTTAGGGGAAAATATTTTGCAAGATAAAATTGTGTTGATGGACAGAGATGGACCAAGCTCAGAAATCCCTCCTTTTTTTATCATACTCTAAACAGCTTTCCCTGTCTCTCTGATTCCATTTAGTCACGCTATGTGCCGGGCCTAACCTATGCTGGCCCTGTACAGAGAGCAGAAGGCTCTCATTTCAGCTCTGGCAGCAAGAGTGCCGATGAGCTCATCCTCATGAAGGAGCTGGACGTGGTGGGCGATGCACTTGAAGGCTTGTTAGGGTTGGGAGGGAGGGAGGGGAGCACCCAGGGCCAGGGGAAACAGATGCTGCATTGAAGATTCAAATCATTGGTGTTCTGACGCGAGTAGATAGCCTACTGCCAGTATCAGTAAATGTCTGGGAGCATAGACTCAGTGGGAGCAACACCAGGCCAGTCGATAATGTGGAACAAATGAAAGAACCAACTTGTCCGCGACACATTATAACAATTGTCTCATTCGGCATAATGGAAATCAACACCACCCTTTGTGTAAAAAGAGAGGGATAAACAGTGGAGCATGTCTCATCAGCAGAAAGAAGTTAACGTCAAAGCAGTGAACTGCAACTGGATATGCAGATAAGACATCCAATATTAAGACATCCCACTGAGTGAAAGTGGAAACAGACTTTCTGCTTTGCAAGAGGAATGCAACAACAAAAGAGGAGGACAAGACGTTGACCTAGAAAAGAGTGATAGAGACAATGACAGCAGGAAAGGATAGTAAGATAGTTAGATATGTGCAGCAGGAGGAGGAGGAATGGGGGCGTGGCATCCATGAAAGAGCAGCAAGTGAATTACTGATTGCAGAGAGCTCTAATAGCCCCAGACTGGCCACACTCCATTACAGTCATTTCATACAGCAGCTTTTATTACCTCCTCCCATTACACACACACACACACACACACACACAGACCACCACAATGCATTTCACTCCCCGCACTACATGAGTATACCTGCAGGATTTCAGTTTAACATGAGCATGAATAGATAATTGCACACCCAAGGTATGCTGGGAAAGTGAGTTGTAAGTGTTGCATGTGCATTAACCAAATGTATGATTCCTCAACTAAATCAGGTATGATCTTCACTTACAGAACAGACATACAGAGAGCGGACACATGCACACACGCCCACCTCATCTATTCATCTATTACCACACCTCCTCCACTGGCCTCTCTGAAGCCTGCGCCGCGTCTTACAGCAGGGCTCCTTTCACACCGACCATCCACAAGACAGCAGAGGGACTGTGTGCACTCTCCCATCAGGCCATGCGTGAGGAGCTTGTGTGTGTGCATGCTCTGGTTCAGGGCTTAGCTGAGATTAGGGTAAACAAGCAGCACATTGTCACACCCCCCAACTCTGACCCTGCCCAGCTCAGGTAAGGCCCAGGCAGCGGAGACAGAAAATATTCCGGTTTGCCCGGGCGTGGGTCCACAGAGCAAGACGGAGAGAGAAAGACCAGTGTTGGAGAGGTTTGGTCAGTCCTGGTCAGCTGTGCCTAACGGCTGTTGCATTCTTCAAATATTAAGAGCATCTTTGCATTTGCAACATTTGCAGAGATATCATACTTTCTGGAAATGTTTTGTTCTTTGAGCCTCTTTGTAACCAACACTATCTAAACTAAGTGAATTTGCCATCAGTTCACACACACTCTGACCCCTTTGTTCTCACCTGAGTTCTCTTCCATCTCCCGCTCATCGGTGCACACCCCCTGGCCATGCATCAGCGAGTGCAGTGGCCTCTCCACACCCCGCGGTGGGTAGCAGCGAAGGCCTGTTCCACATCGGGGTGAGTAGACGCCACAGTGCGCACCTTTAGGCAGGGCGCAGGTGGGACAGCAGCCGCAGCCGGGCTCTCGCACTGTCTCCTCGCAGCCGTCTGGCAGACGACAGCTGGCCAGCCTCTCCTCTGAGCACACGGGGCAGCGAATAGCTTGATCCGACAAGCACAGCGCCACCAGCGACAGGGCGCCAAACACCCACAGGCCCCTGCAGGATGGAGCTACACCACCTCCACGCACCATGGCAGCCCTTGCACCTGCACACAGTCCTTTTCCCTCGTGTATGGTCCCCTCAGCCTCCCTGCTCTCTCTGAATGTCGTGCAGCTTTTGATCACTTTATACTTCAACAGCCGATTTTAGACAAGCAATGGAGGATTGAGAAGAAAGCTTTGTCCAGGATGGTCTTTGATATTTTCAGCTGGTTAGTGTTTCAATTGCAGGGACACAATGCCTCTGCTGTATTGCCTCTCCGTTCCTCTGATTCAATTTCACAGCGCAGAAACTGGAGCCTGCTCTTGATCTGCTCGACTGGCGAATGTGGTGGTGATGAGAACTAGGTTTTGTAGTGTTGGAATGAACAGTTGCAGGAAGGATATCCACCAGTGTGCTCAGGTGAGTCTTGCTCTGTCTTCAAGTCCAGAGGCTCGCCCCCCCTCTGCTCAAACACCAAAAAATCTGGTCTACAAGTGTCCAAATGCAAAGCAGGTCATCAAAAGGCAGTGTTTTAAGTAACAGCTGCAGTTTCCTCCTCTTGCTTGTGTGCAGTGCAAAGGACTCGCTCCTGAGAATGGCTCAACACGAGTGGCTCTCCTTGGACTTTATACTGGTCCATGGACACGCCTCTTTCTACAGTGAGAGAGAAGCTGAAAGGCACAGCGGAGGAAAGCCAGGCTAAAGCTTTCTCCCTCTGTCTCCCTCATTCTCTCTCTATCTCTCTTTCCTACTCAGACACACACTCTCCCTCACTTGTCCTCTCTCGATCCTGAGTGCACCTAGAGAAGAAACAGCTGAATTACCCTCTCACACACAGAATACATTTATTTTTCTCCCCCACCCAGCAATTATTCTCTTCAGTCGCATTCAACTTATTTCATGTGAGCAGCGCTCAGACGTATTGATTTGCAAGTTGGGAGATTTCTTGACGAAGCATTTTGGTCCATAAAAAAAGTAAAAAACACATCAGTGCTGTTCCATTTTAATTAACCCCAAATACCCAGCACACATGTATGTGCCTCTGGGGCTGAAACGTGGTTCAAACAACAAAACAACCTCATGCCTGCTCCCTCAACAGGGTCTCATTGTGTGTTTATGTGCATGTGAATGTGTGTGTTTGCATGTATGCGTGTTCGTCCAGAGTCCAGTCCCCCTCGGCCCCCCACCTCCCACCCCCACAATTATGTTTGCCCCCAGATCTCCTTTTCTCTTTTTCCTCTCTTGCTACTAAAAGGCAAATGGACAGTCTAAATCCCCCTCCCCACTGCCGCCCTGCCCCCAAAGGTCCTAAAAAACCTTCCCACCGGTGGAATCGAAGGATTCATTTTAACAAGCTGCAAGCTGAGATAGTTTACGTGTGTGTGTTCGTGATCATGAAAGAGTGAATCAGCGTGTTGCTTTGTTCTTGTTTGCTGTGTGTGCAGATATTCCCTCCACTCAGCCTGTAAGGTTTTGAATCATGGATTTTATTGGTCAACATCCCTTTTTTTCCCTGTGTTTCTTTGCTTCCATTTTGCCATGGAAACCCAGCATGTATTGTAATGCCTTTGTGAGTGTGCTTCCTTTTTGCTTTTTTCTTCAGGCTGGTGGCTGGTTGCCATAGGCGGGTCATGGGCGGCAGCCAGGCCTTACAAGGCTGTGCACCACTCAGGTGGGTGCTATAGTGAGTGTTGTTAGTTACACAGAGCTCAGATTCCTCACCCGTCCCTGCACGCTTAATGATGAGAAATATGTAGCGTCAATAGTGGCTGTGGTTGGATATCTTTTTGCACATCTTTTCTTCACCCCATCTATTCAAGTCTGGTCCAGTAAACAACAGTAAAGCAGAACTTGTTTGTATTCACACACACTTTAAAATGATAAAATTGGTCTATTTCAAGTCAATAGATGGAATGATAGACTGGTAGTTGGTGGAGCTTTTTCTGAAGAGCTCATTAGAGCGAGCATCCAACACTCATTAGTTAGATATGCTGATGTGTCTTATTTATTACATTATACATTCTTATATTTGACAGATGCTTTTGTCCAAAGCAGATTAAAATAAGAACACTCACAGGAAAAAGAGCACAACTCCCTCAGTTATAGAATTTAAAGTGTTTTCAAAGAGCTGGACTACAACTGTGCCTAGTCTTTCCATTGTGTGCAGTTGTTTTATTGATTGGGAGAGAGAAAAGTTGAAACGAAAACTAGCTTTTTATTTTGGCCACAAGATGGAGTAATAGCTCCTTAAATGGAAACAAGTACACAGCCATGTGAGCAGCCTGAACTGATGTGGAACCATCACTACCATTATCAGTTCTTTGTTTCACTCATAAATGTAATATAATAATATTGGTGCTCTACGCTCCATGTGATTAGTAAATTAACATTTACATCATGAACATGGAAATGATAAGGACTAATCCAAACAACTGGTGTTGCTGCTCTGCTGTGTGAACATGCTTTGGTTTCTGTTGCTCCACCTTCAAAATGGGTTCCTGTTCCTTTAAGGGATCTCTCCAGTGACCTTGCATTTATTCCATATTCAGATAAAGTCTGGTGGCGGAGATTGGAATCTCCTACTGTGAGAGCGGTTCTCCTCCAGGTGCTGATCAAAAAGTGGGTAAGATCACTTTATTCACATTACTGACACTCACGCTAACTTCCAACAAAAACTAAAAAGTACTTTGCAATGTAGAAACCTGCATCTCACATTTTTATTAACTATGTAAGAAAGTTTGGTATTGTCTTTTTTTTTGTCATCACTGAATGTAATTTAAGTTAGAACTCTCTCAATGCTGAGAACTTCTTTCAGTAACTACACAGTTTTTCGTTTTTATTGTAGGGCAATAGAAGTTTAGAAGTGCTCATCCCCGGTCAAACTTTATCAGATCAATGAGAACTGATACTAGGCTTCTTAACTTAGATTTTAAAACACAGCTGTATATTTTATTCCTTTTTATTATATTTTCAAACTACCTTCATGTACTGGAGTCTCACTGCCTGTTAGCGTGGAAAGCTCTTTTACGCTTGCTCCTATGTTACAGCCTTGACAGGAAATACATGTGCAGCGAACACCATGTCTTTCTCATAAGGCTAAATGTAGTTACAGGGCCGAGCAATCAACCATGGGCTCTTACCCACTTTCTTTTTTTCTCTAAACTATTTTTTCTGCCGTCCAACCAACAGGAACAATGCAATGCAAGTGTTTTTTCACATGCTTTGTAGAAATAGTAAGGGGTATTTTAATAGTGACAAGAACATTAGAAAAAGTTATAGTCGTCTTATTGTGTCTGACTAAACGTCTCATCTTGAGTGTACACAGGAAACCCATTTTTTCATGTGTTAAAATGCGTTAAAGGTGTTAAAATTGTCTTTCTCTCTGTAAACACATCATGACAGAATTTGTCAAAGTGCCATCACAAGGAATAGTTATGAACTTGTTTGACATTTGTCTTCCAAACTATCTCTCATTTACCAAATATTCTAATTCCTCTCCACAGAAGATTTTTCTTCATAATGAACACAGACAAACATCCTGAATTTGCCTCCCCAGATGGAGACAGGATGGGTGAGTATCTGATTCTGTGGCCTTGGTATGAAAGTGATGGTGTTCAGGCTGCGCACATTGCTCCACAACTGCCACCATCCTGCCTCAGCACACAGGGGAGTACTGAAAGTAGTGTGTGTTGAAAGCTGAAGGAGTATGTGTGAAGGAACTTGAAATAGCAAGGTTCCAACACATTCACTGATCATGAAAAAATTAGTTTAATGTTCACTTATTCCAACAAAATGTTAGTACATTGGTTTTGACTTCCCTTAATGACACAAAAAGGTACAGTAAGTATTTACACGCGCAAAATGTGTCACTTTTCAGACGTTTGCAGTGATGCTGCAGATGTGAAGACACAGGAGGAGGAAGGAGAGCGGGAGGACAGCTCTTACAGTGAAAATGGAATGTTTGTGGAAGGTGGGATGGATCTGTGTAGGTTTTCACACACACACACACACATACATACATACACATGTGAGTGGAATTTTTGTCTTCTTTTTTTTCCCTAGCCATTGTGACGAAACCAAAATTTACTTTAGGTATTAGTTAAGGAGCTAAAATTAATGTCTTACTTTTAGTGGTCACTTTGCATTTCTGCTTATCTGAAGGGTTTCAAAGGTGTCATGAATCAAAGTGTGGAGGAGGAGGGTTTTATTCTTTGACTTAAACAGGAAGATAGATTGATAGATACGAATTTTTAGCTCACTTCTGATAAAACTTATATCTTGATTATATTATATCAATCTAACATATAATGTTCTATATAAGTTCTTCAGAGACTCTTTGCAGCGGAGCCCCTTATCAAGCAGGGAGATTGTTAGATTTCTAACTATGACCACCTTGTTAAACATCTTGAGAGTGAAAAGTATTTCAGCTTTATGTCCTTGTCAAGTTAAAAAAAAAGTGTTACAGACAGCTTTCCGATTATTTCTGAGTGCTACCCATATGCCTAACTGGGTGCACTTCCTAAAGCCCTGCTCTGCATCTGATGCACAGCCTGCGGTTCACTGCTCTGAGACTCTGGACTCTATATTGGGCCTCTCGGAGCCCTGCGTATGCAGTTTCCATAGCACCTCTGAACGCCTTCCACAATATGAGGCGCTGCTCTTTAGCTCATCACCAGTCACCGCCAAGACCACAGTGTGGTTATGGATGGAACTCAGCTCACTGGGGGTTGGTTAACACTTAACAAGTGGCTAGGTGAGAGGTCCTGCAAACCAGGCTTCAGGACTCTGCATGTCAGCATGTCATCATGTCATGTGATGCTGAGAAGTATGCATACAGCTGGGCAGAACCTTAATGGTGTGGCATTTGGACCTACAGTTGTTAGCAGCGTGAAGCTTAGGAAAATGTCAAGGAAAAAAAATAACAGGAAAAACTTGCAAGCAGTAGAAATGACAGCGGATTGATTCTCTGCTGAGATGTAACACTGTGTGTTGGATGTTTTTCAGCCTCTAAACAATCAATCTAAAATCTCTTTTTAAAGGCGCGTGCTCTCTCCTGCCTTGGTTCTAGTTTCTGTGTTTTCAGAGGAAATGCCTTCCCCTTATCTGAAGTATCTTCTGCATCTCTCTGTGCACTGGCCTAAATTAAGCTAGCCACACTTAGGAGATGTGCTCGCACTAATGTCTATCTGTCAGTTATAAATACAAATGTAGAAGTGAAGACATCATGCTTTGGTTGGACTGGTTGAATTCTTATCAATCTTATTCAGCCCCTTATTTGAAAATGAGAGCATCAAGTCAAGTAAAATTGTATTTTCACAGCACGATATCACAAATTACAGTAACATGAAGTTTCATGTTGCAGCTGAACACCCCTCACCTCACCCTCTCCTTCCAAACATGAAAAAGAACCTGTGGCAGCTTCAGTTGTCATAAAAAGAGAGGGTCCCCTCCATGTAAATATAAAGTATTAAATATAAAGGTTCTTTTCTGGGGTAAAGAAAAAAAAATTCATACAATTTAGATGAAACAAACTAGTGAAAAGATCATGAGGATTATTCTACATTCAATTTCTGCCAATAGTTCCTTTTAACCTAAATCTTACACACTGGACCTTTAACAATCTGTACAGTATTAGAAATAAATAAACGTATACAAGAAAAATTATATTACAGTGTAGG